CCACCTTTGGTGCTTGTGAGCACGGCGCCCCGCTGTACTTCGTGCTCGCTCTGTATCGGCTCAAGCAAAGGCGACGGTTGGGGATCAATGGACCGTCTGGCTGGTGCTTCGTGATTTCCAGGGCATCTTCCAAGAAAATGGTCTTCACTGGAAACATCTTGCCTCACGCAGTGAAACGGAGAGGATCCACATGATGAAGCTGTGCAACGCAGGATTTCTGGAATGTCTCCAAGTAGTTTCTGGTGGTTTTTGTAGAAATCTATGGGGTTCATCCGTTTTGGAAGCACCAGAATCTTCTGTACAGGTTCATACGGGCTCCATTCTTGGAGCGCTACACAGCTCCAGCGCCCAATAAAGGTTCGACATCCTAAGCAAAGCCCATTCCATCCAAGGACCTTTGCTTATCAGCATATCATCAACAGGTCGATCAACACAGCATTTCCCACACCCTTTCCTTTCCACATGATCCATGTCGCTCCGTCAGCTCCTCCCACCTGGAAGCTTGAAGACCACTGGCTGAATGGATCCGTTTGTAAAGTACTTCTGCAAACGATGGGCATCAAAGGTCGCAGACCTGGAAGTTCGTTCGGTTCGTTCGATGTGGTGAGTAGATCCTCTTTAGCTGATTTGGTGCTTCTATGGTTGGTCGGTTTACAAGTTACAAGATGTTACAAGGCAATCCTTGTTGGGGTGAGGATATGTGCCGCTACAGAATCACCACTTCTGAAGAGTTTTTCCAAATCGTCCAGCGCTGTTGGATCGCTTTTTCACTCGTGCTTCAGGCTCTCATGGCCCTGATTTGGCACGTCAGCCACCCTCCCACCCATTTGTTCAAATTCCCGCCTTTGACACATATCCAAAAAAGACCACAGAACAAGAATAGAGAGTACACTAGACTCACTAGACATACAAAAACCATCCAAAACCCTGTTCTGCCCTATTCCGCCCCGCCACATGGCAATGATGTGCAGCGAGTGATGGCTGGAGCGCCTTCGGCTCAGCTCGCGCAGCAGCAGGAGGAGCAAGTCGCCCTCCAGGCTGCGCTCGTGCACCTGCAGCCATGACGGAGGCTGCTTGGGTCGAGCTGCTTAGCCCCGAAGTCTTCAAAGTGTTTTGGAACGCACCGGAGCTGCAACAGCGCCCCCTTGCCACTTCTGACATCTTCCGACCTCCGGCCTCATCAGCAAAGATGTGGGTGATGCCCTGAAGTTCCGGATCCGATTCCAGGCGCCTCAACAACACCCCTTGAGTGCAGTAAGTCAAGCAGCTGGCATCGCCTCAGAGCAAGCTGATCATCGAGGCGGATCAGTTTTCAGACTGAGCCCAACCCTTCCAGTGCGAGTTTCACATGGTGGGGGCCAGGCTGTGATACCTGATCTTTTCTTCTTACGCTTGCTGCAGATTGGAAGGCCATATTAGTGTGATATTCCTCAACCTGCTTCACAAACATCTCCCGGAACAGGATCCCCTTTCTGACTGCATGAAGGGAAGCGTCTTAAATGGGAAACTCAAACGAAAGCTCCCCCCACCTTTGTGACCTTCACCGGCTCCCTTCGGCTTCAGTCAGCTTTCAGTCGATGATCTCCGCGTGTACCGCCCGCGTCCAAGTGGCCGCCGCGATGCTCGTGTCGAATGGCATAGCCCACGGTGTGGCCCAGTGCCTCACCACGCTCCTCGCTCACTCGCCGCGCCACGCTGACACAGCTCACACGCCGGGGCTGAGTCACCAAGATCCTCCAGGCAGAAAAAACAGATGGAAAGCAAAACCACATGAATATCAACGCTTGAGCTCTGCGGTTTAACACAACAAAAAGTACAACATCCGGATGTTCGCATTCTTTCCCAAATGAATGTGGGAATTTGGGTCAGTTAAGTTACCCGGATGGAGCTGTTTGGCGTCTCCCTCAAATCACCATCAGTAGTTCTTCGCAAGGTATTCCTCCCACCTGCATCTTTCGTTCTGTTCGGCAGCATGTTCCAAGATGTACTGTGGGAGCTGTGTGGTTTTTCCTCGGATTTACATGGGCATCAACAATCTGCAGATCAATGTAGGAGGCCACTGCTGTTCGTTTATGAACAGCAGTGGCCTCCAACCTAAGAGCGATGGCCTCCAACCTACTGGCGATGGCCTCCCTAAGAGCGATGGCCTCCAACCTACTAGCGATGGCTTCCAACCTACTGGCGATGGCCTCCAACCTACTAGCAATGGCCTCCAACCCACTAGCGATCCCACACATCAATGAATTTGAACAGCCGTTGTCATGTTCTGAGCTTGCGACGAAGCTTCCAGAACCTGTCGCACCCTGCACGATGACCACAGGGTTCTGAGCGACCACCTGGTAGGGTAGATCAATGAGTGAAAACCAAGAGGCGTGGTTGGATACTTGGTGTTGCCTTATGAGTTCGTAGAGGTCGTCATTAACACCAAATAGGGAAAATGGGTTAACATCTACTATTTAACCAAAAGTCCTGCCAAAAAGAATTGTGTCTTCCAGGTCATACAGGAAAAATTGTCTATTTTCAGGGTCATCTTGTCTCCAAACATGAAGGAAGCATCACTCATCCTTGCTCCACAACACGTCAATTTTCTCCATAAGCACTGGCTTCTCAATGTTTCTCAGACTGGTCTGTGACCTTTGACCATCACTTGCGCCTCTAAAAACGCCGTCCGTTGCCGTGCCGTTGGCAGCTCCATCCTCTGCGCCATCGCCCGCGCTGGGCGTGGCGGCACCGCTGGCGGCAGGGGGCAAGATCCGCTGCGCTGCGCGGTGCCAGAGGTGCCAGCGACGGCGGTCCGAGGGGCTTGGCGCAGGCTGCGCAGGCAGCGGAGCAAGGCGCCCAAAGCGTCCCAGGTCTTTGTCGACCTGATCTTCAGACCAATGCCAAAGTGTCTTCCAGTAAAGCATCTTCAAAAATTAAACGGAATTTCACAACTACCCTTCCCAAGCGCCTCTGCAACACTGCTCCTAAATCTTCTCCAACTACTAGTAGATACAAGCTGATCTCCATCTTCCCATCCCAATCCTCCCCATCTACCTCCCTCAGAATCCTACATCCCCATGAGAAACCTTCCCATCTCGTCAGGTCACACGCGGAGCTTCACCGCCCCCATCCGGTCGCACCACTGCGCTTGGTCTTTGCCTGGCGCCGCTGGCACCGGCACCGGCCCCGCTCTCTGGCGTGAGCGGCTCCGTGAGCGCGGAGAGGGCGAGGGCGACGAAGCGATCCTCGGTTCCGGCGTGTGTGTTTTCTTTTTGCATGCTGCTTTTTTTCCGATTCGATCGTCGTACTTTCGGAATCCGGTATTGAGGATTATGGAAGCATGTATGATGTATGGAATTTGGCCTCTGGTTCTGGTTGGCATTTCGAAGCTAGGACCACCTCTTGCGCTGACCAAATTGTTAAAAATTTGTGGAGGACGTGGGCGGTAGACCTTACAGCAAAACTGGGGGGCAGTAGCTCCTCTCATTCTTGTCCAAGCAGTCAGTAATCAGTAGATTTCCCCGGATTTGGTCCCAGCTTCGGGCTGAGCTTTGGCTGCGCCTGCAATGCATCCTGCACGGCCTTCAAGGACTTCATCGACCTGCGAGTGGTGCAAGACCACCATCCTGCCCCGGATTATGCCACTGCTTTGGGGTCTTGAGGCCTAAAAACGAGACGAGTGCCAGGCGAGGACTGTCAGGTGTCACGACGGAGAAAAGCTTCGACTCCGAGCACCCCATCCAAACAATTGGTTGATCTTTGTACTCCCTACTTGAAGACCTACCTGTGTCCTTCAAACAGTGCTACCTTTGAGCCACTCCACCAACCAACGGCCGACTTCGGGGGCAAATGACCAAAAGCCCTTGGAAAATTCTCAGGTGGGTTGTGGATCTCTTGCCGATCAACTGCTTGTGGCCCTGAGTTGTTTGATATTCTTTCGGATCCCACTCCACCAGGCCACTAGCCCAGCCTGGGCCTCAAAGCAGTGTTGGCTTCGCTCGGCACGCAGTCGGGCGCCGTAGCCGTTGGAGGCGCCTCAAGCTGTGCCAGCTCCTTGTGCCAAAACGAGGAATTAGTTTAAACGACCTTGAAAACACGGGGCGTCGGATGCGAAAAACAGAAAGGAAGAGACATTTCATGTAGAAATTCCACAGTTCGATTTGATGATGAACATCTATATAAGTCTCAGAAGGGATCTTGGCAACCCGGAAGACCACTTCTACTCATTCAAACTTCAATGCATGAGTGTGTCAAGTGCTATAGGCCTTTCTAGCGACCCTAGCAGACAGGAAATTCATGATCCAGTGATTGACAGGTGCCAGGCGATCCACACTGATTATCTATCCGTTGTGCTGCGTGCTCATCACGTGCTCATCCTTCCCCACAACCGAAGAGATCGAAAATACTTGAAAACCATGTGGTTTGGGTAGATTCGCTGCTAAAAAGGTGCCAGGCGAAGTGACGAAGGACACCTCTCCCTGTCCTCCGCCTTGCGCTTCCAATGCTCAATCTTCTTCTGGGCTTTGCGAAGCTCCTGGATCTCAGTGCTCCAAACCAAACCCGCATTCAACGAGGGAACAACTCTTCTGAAAGATTGCTGTTTTTCAAACTTGACAGTCAGTGCTGAGACATGAACTCGGATTTGAGACCAACAATGATCAACACCTAGTGTATACGACTGGACATGTTCTGCTTTCGGCCAAGCCCAAGCATGGCTGAGAATTTTTTGAACCAATCTCAAATGATGTTTCATGATTTTTCTTTTTCAAAAATCAACCCGCCCAAATCCAAACCTTCCAACGCCCACTGTCCTTCTGGGCCTTCTGCCGTGCACGCTTGGCCCTTGCCCCCAACCTCGTGGGCAACGAAAATCCCACCAACCAGGAGCCAAACAAATGGTCGGGACATTAATGAACTGGTCCATGACGTGAATAGACAATACAAGCCACTCTGACTTGTCACTTTGTTTGGAATAGACAGTGTAGGCGGGCTGTCACGAAGAACAAGAGTAATTAGCAGCGTAAGCACACAAATCTACCTGTGTCTTCTTGTGGGCCTTCGCTGCTCCGTGCTACTGAAAGTCGACCCGCTCTCTTTTCGGCCCGCTGCCTTTGGATCCCCTAACAAGTTGCCGCTCCTTGCAGAGCACCCTGCAGTGCCTACACGCAGTAGGCTTTGCTAAGCTCTGCAGCTTCCCCAGATCACAGGCATTTCAGTTCTCGATGGCCAAGCGCGACGACCGAGAGGACTCCGAGCTGCTCCGCGCACGGCGTGGTTGACACAGCAAGGCGTAAGCGTTGTTGAGCCGGGCCATTTCCGCGTGAGCCCACCTGTAGCCGATTTGCGCATGGGTGCTCTTGAGACTTTGTCGAACTCAAGACTGCACCAAACGCATGCGTTTGACTTTTGACTTTGGCTCGAAACTATTTCTTTCGCAAGCCGAGCCCGCGATGATTCGCATGGCGCCAAGCTACTCTTTGTTGGCCTTCGGCTGCTTGTCTGGGTGCACCTGCCGCACAGCCAGCTGCCCGGTCAAGAGTATATACTGGGAGAATAGTTTCTCTTTGGTTCCAGTTGGTGTGAAAATAGGTAAACAAACAACCCTTAGATCGCCCCGGGTAATATTCACCAGCAGGCCAAAACTAGCGCCGCACCGGAAACGGTAAGGACACCGTGCCCAGAATCCCGCCCTCGGTGCATGAACAAAACTGAATATGAAGCACAAGCTCCACTCCATGTTCCTTTGAGCAAGTTTCACTTTCCACAAGAGGGCATCTACATGAGCTTTTTGGACATCAACAGTATTGAATGGATCAACATACCACCGCCCAAACGAATTCAAATCTGGCCTTAAAGGCTTTGAGGCGGAAGGCTTTTCTCACCTCTTCCTTGGAGGCATCCAGGGCCACACCCAGCAAAGCCGCAGCAGCCCGTAGCCGGTCGGTGCTGTAGCGGTCATCCCCTTCGGTGGACTCCAAGGAGCGGCCCGCAGGGACGACGGTGCCGCTCAGGGCAGCGGAGCTCAGGCCTGAGCGAGGTTGGAGAGACTGGCACGATTGACATAACTGCTAGGGTCTGCATGGGCCTGTCATGCTTGACAACACAGCAAACACAGCTATGCTTAAAGTACTCAAGCATAGCCTAGCAACACAAATCAAATCAACATCAAACACAAACCAGGCTGTCACCGTCAGCGTGGAAAGCTGCCAAACCAACATGTCTCAAAAAGCTACATTGCCTTCAACTTCAGTCACTCCAAGGGACGAAACGGAGCGCGTTGCCACCCCCTTGTGTCGGGGCTCCTTTCCCTCTTGCGCAGTGGCGTTGCTA